TCCTGACAAAGTGCCAAGTGTGTTTACACACAGGATCAGACTGCTTAATGACATGACCCGAGCCAGCAGGTGTTCCTCCCGTTTCAGAAAACAAGGTTGGGTTTCAAGAAGTTACAGAGCTTGTGGAGGATGGACAACTGAGAAGCCCTCATGTGGAGCTGGCCGCCGAGCCCTGGAGAGTGCTCCTTGGTCCGCAAATGGCCGTGCACTTCCCAACTCTGCGTGTTCACCAGGGACCAGTCTCATCCTGGTGTCCCTTGCAGATGCCCTCCCGCTTCTGAGACTACACCGGACAGGGAGCCCAGAGACCAGATTCCCGCCCCAGGTCAGCCCCTGGCCATAGATCAGTCACTCTTGCGCTCAGTGCCATGCCACCGCTTGATTAAAAAGAGAGACCGTGTTATTTGCAACAGTATAGATGGACCTAGAGGGCATGATGCCAAATGAAATAAGCCAGACAGAGTGGGACAAACACCATATGATTTCACTTCCACGTGGAAACTAAACACACACAAACATAACCAAACAAGGAACAGAAAGAGATGCATAGATACAGAGAACAAACTAATAGTTTCCAGAGGGGAGGCAGGTGGGTGACAGGCAAAATATAAGCCACAGGGATGAAACATAGAGCATAGGGAGCGTAGTCCATAGTACTGTAGTGCTTAGTGTCAGCAGTATTCAGGTGGTGCCTAAGTGTTGAATCACTATGTTGTACACACAGAACTAATATATACCAATCACACTTCGAAATGAAAACGAATATTTAAAAGTAGGTAGAAACAAACAACAAGAACAGCAGAGACATCCTGGTGAAAAGGTGTGTGAAGGATGATTTCCGTGCTGGCACGAGCCCCTGGTAAGACCGGCGGTGCCGCCGCTATGCAACGAGCTCTTGCAGCTGCCCCGACGGCAGGTGTGCTTGCTGTGGGTCCTTGCCCACCTGCTTTCCTCTCTTTATCTCTACTGAAGATAGTGTTTTCCAGTTTCGCTGTGATTTGCAAGAGGGTCAGCTGTGTTTTTGGATTATTTTTCAGACACTTTTTTGTGGGGCGGTGGATTGCACAAATATTCTCCGATCTGTGTTGCTTCACCCCCGAGAAGAGGTTTCACAGGGGTGTGAGCTTAAACCCGAGTGAGGAGGGCTCTGTGTGGGAAGTTGTCCTCAGCAGGAAGGTGGGGATGCAGTGGCCTGGGGAGTGCTCGCTAACTGAGGAGATGGGTGTGCCTCTTCCTGTGCGTGACTCTGATCCTTACCTGGGCTGATGGAGGCCTGGGTGAGAACACGTGAACCCTCTCAGCCCTCCCTCCATGAGGTACTGCTGTCTGCGTCTCCGGTTAGGGGTGGAGTGGGCGTCCAGCTCTGCACCAGGGCTCTGTCCTCTGCCTGCCCCCACTTCCCCAGTCGCCGTCATCCCCAGGAACACTGTTGTCCCCAGTCCGTGTGGCTTTCTGACAGAAGCAGCAGCCTCAAACCATGATGGCTGAAGCCAGTGAGAGGGCTGGACTGCGAGCAACGACCCCGCCCAGGGTGCCCAGCCACCCCCCACGGCGCTGTCCCTGGTGCTGCACGTAATACAGCAGGTTCCCGTGGGGTGAGAGGTCACTCATCAAGACTGGGCTCTAGGAAAATGGGTTGTCGCCAGCTGCCCTCTCCTTCCTGGCGGTGAGGATGGAGGGGGAGGTGGTGATGTCTGGGGGCTGTACTCTGAGACCACATAGTGATGTCGAGGCTGTGACCCTAGTCGGTACTCAGTTTCTTGGTACCTCAGCATCAGCGCCTGTGGGAGAGTAGGGGTGCTGCCTCTGGGATGCTCACAGCTCTGTCACAGGTGGTGGGGGAGTGGCGGTTTATTCACATGGCAGCAGGCTTCGCGGTCATTAGGTCTGTGTCCCAGTCCAGCTCTGCGCACAGCATGAGCAAATGGTAATTTCCTTTTAGGTGCTCCGCCTGGGCAAGAGAGCGAGCCAAGTGGAGCGAAAAACAAAACAGTGGTACTGAGTCTGAGCTGAGGCCCTTGACGTGGGGCAGTAGCTTGTACTCATAGAGCCTCCTCACAGCTGTGAAAGAGCAAACCGCACCCATCCTTACGCTTGCTGTAATAAGAAAGATCAATGTGTGTGCAGGGTACTTAGCATAGGGCCTGGCACATAGTAGGTGTCCGTTACATTTCATTTTCTTTCCCCTTCCGCCTCGCGGGCACACATGGCTATGATTTCATCAAGGCTGGAGAGGGTCATGTAGTCTGATGCTTACTTCATCAGAGATTGTTCAGAAAAGCCCTTCAGGTGATTACACAAATGTAATCCTAATGACCACGGCGTCCGTTTCTGGCCCTGGGGACCCAGCCTGCCAGGGACGCTTTCTCCTTCTGTGTTTAGCAGGAAGATCCTGGTATCCAGAACGTTTCCAAACCCCTTTTAAAGGTGAAAGTTATTAGTTCCTTTTGGGTTATCAGGTGATGAACTGAAATTGGCCTTTTTAGTGAAACTTAGGAATATTCTGACCTTTAGCTAAAAGAGAGCACTTGTTTGGTTTACAATCCCTTCGAGGTGGGGGACTAGGAAGAGCCTACACTGAGTGAGAAATTAGAGGCACCCCTGCTGGACATGTAGACCCCTCACAGGGGAAGAAATGTATGTACGAAAAATGGCTAATAAGGTTCTCAAAAAAGTGTTCAATTTCAGGAGCGATTCAGACCTGCAAATTAAAACATCGGTGAGGTAGCATTTCGCCTCTTCCTAGCAAAAATGGAAAATCGATCATGGCCAGTATTGGCAGGGGTGCAGGGAGAGGGGTACCAGCCTCGTCGCCTGGGGCGCACATCACAGCAAACGCCTTTCCGAGAAGGAACTTGGCATCCGCCTGCCAGCCTTGACCTTTTCCACCCTCTCAATTCAGTCTCTGCTTCTAGATATGGACCTCAACACGCAGTGTAAATGCAGACAGGAAATTGAAGCACAAAGATGTTTAGGATGGTTTTCAGTAGTAAGTTTTTAAACATGGAAAATATCTGAAAATAGGGGAATTGTTCACTAAGCGAAGATAGGGCTGTGTGATGAGATGTTCTACAGACTGATTTTTAATGATGTGAACGTGTTCATAGTATATTGAGAGAATAAAACAAGATATAAAGTTCACGTATATATGTGTGCACTTGTATAAAATGAAACAGATGATAACATACACCTATAACAGTTTGAACTGCATTAAAATACAAATACTTAGAAAAAAGATTCTAGAATTAAAGTGTTACAATTAAGGTTGAGTCTTTTTTACTTTATTGTGCTTTTTGCTGTTTTCCCAACTTTTTCCGGTAAGCCTGTCGACTTTTACAGGCAGAAAAGAGAGTCAGTGTGACTCTGAAATGTCGTTCTTGCTCCGGAATGCCGTGTTCTATGTACGCACACAAGTCTCTTGTTCTCGGGGGGGTCACTGGGCTTCAGACATCTCCCGGCAAAGGCCATACATTTGTTGACACCCCAGTAGTTCTCTGCAAGCTGTTATGGTTGTTGGGGTTGAAAATTGGGTGTGTACACCCTGAACTGGGAAGCGATTCGTCTCCTCTCTGGGTTTTCCCAGGGAATAGCTCCAGGGCCGATTCGAGCACGCTGCGTTTGGCCAGATGTTTTGGCCACAACACAATCTGGGATGACACAGACACTCACTTTGATCCTTTGACCAAATGACTCTGTCAACTTTCAGTTGAGCCAGAACTGCGGGGCCCTCACATGAAAAAAACCTCTTCTTCCCCTTCTCCTTCCATCTATCCATGGAACACCCCTTTATTGAGCACCTCCTGTATGCTTGATTCTGTGCTAAGAGGCAGGGTTGCAAGCATCAGTGAGACACAGCCTCTGACAGCATGAAGGTCATGGTCGGGAGCCGAAGCAGGCTACAAGGAGCTAATTAGAGCATGCACACCCATGTGCTACCTGGCATCTACACGTCAGGTGCCATAGGGTCTGGGGGTATAGCACAAGGACACAGGTGCAGAGGTCAGGCAGCAGTGAGGGGAGGAGGTGAACGCTGGTCCAGGCTGTCAGGGAATGTGCTTAGTTCACATGTTCGTTTCTACAGGGAGTCATTGGCCGAGTTGCAGTGTGCCAGGCGTTATCCAGGCCTGGGAGACTGTGGAGCAAGACCACACAGACCTCTGTCCTCAGGGAGCTAAACTGCAGTAGAGCTGATGGACAGTGAAGCCCACAAATACGAACCCACTACGGCTCGTAGTAAATGCTGTGGCAGAAGTGAATGCTGCCATGGAGGGAGGCAAGGCGGAGATAGGAGGGTGCTGCTGTGGGGGTGGGGCGTGCCCAGAAGCTCAGACCTCGAGAGTGCGGGGCTCCACCTGCACATGGGTCAGGAGAAGCAGCACTAAGACTGAGGCAGAAAGAGCCTGCTGTGTTCTAGAAACTTCCGGAAGGTGGAGAAGGCTGGACACAGCCAGCAGGCAGGGAGGCTTTGTGGAGGGTGTGTTAGTTAAGCAGAAACCTGAAGGGCAGGGTGTCACAAGACAGGGTCCTGGGTGCGGGGGCCAGAAGGAGACAGGCAGGGCGTAGCTGGCCAGGCACAGTGTGTGTGAGCAAGTCCTGTGGCTGAGGGTAAGGTGGGGGTGATGGGCAGGGCCCTGATGAGGAGACTTTGGGGGCCCCCGGGGTCGAATAATTGCTAGTCCTCTCTGATCTTCTACACGGGGTCCCGTCTGCCTTGTCCTGTTCTAGAAATTACATTTCCTTCGGGGGATGCAAGTCTGCTCTGAGGTTGGGAGCTCTGGCTGTGTCTTCAGCTCTAAACTGTGTGTTGGACCAGCTCTGAAGCCAGCACTACCCTGGGAGTCTATTATTTCATTTTCTTGGAACGAATCCGTTATGAATTACTAACGATAATGATTCATTATACAGTCTCACGCTGGCATGTGCTGATTCTCCAACAGCCAGCAGAAGACATTGCCCTGCTGATTAATTCTCTGCTATTTCCCGCCCCCCCCTTCTCTTAGAATGGCCATTCAAGTGGACAAGTTCAACTTCGAGAGTTTCCCAGAATTCCCTGGGGAGAAGGGACAGCCTGCAAATCCGAAGCAGCTAGAGGAGGAGAGGCAGGAAGCCCGCGGCCTGGAGATCGACAGCAAGCTGGACGTGCACTGGAGAATCATATCCTTTTCACGGTGGCCGCCTTGGCCTGGCACACCCCGCTCGGGGGCTCTGCCCACTGGGAAGGACCCAAGAGGGCTTCACTGTGGCACCGTAGGCACACACATCTTAGCTGGGGCGTGTCAAGGAGACAGGACTCCACAAATGAGGTATCGATTCAGGATGAGGAAAGGCCATTCCCCTGGAATGTCTTGGATCATGTGTTTCTTGCCGGTGGGGATGTCTGTGTTAGTGACCCATTCTCGTGCCCTGCTGTCATTGCTGGACCCCAGGAGTGCCATACACTGACCATTCCCTCCAGGACGCAGCTGTCCGGGAGACTGAAATCGGACTGCACGGCTAACCGAGGCAGGGGAATACTGAGGGGCTTCACAGGGACGGTGCTGCCCGAGGGTGCCTGGGGCAGCCCTGGCCCCGCTGTGAACGTGAGATGTGCCCGGCTCACAGCAGGTGCTCTGCCCCTGAGAGGATCCCAGGCGCGTTGTGTGAGCATTCGACTGTCTCACAGAGCACCTGCTCTTGGTTGGGAATTGGTCGAGACACTTAGGCTGAGATGGAAAGAGGGGCCTCGGTGCAGCTTCGTGGCCCCATGGGGTGTGGCTCGCCAGCTGGGGACCCCATGCACTTCAGGGGCACAGTGGGGTATCGTGCCATGTCTGTGAGGTTCAGGGGTAGAAGCTGTGTGGGCATGGGGCCTTCGGGGAAGGCTCCCCAGAAGGGGGGCGTTAGAGTGGCTTTTGTAGGGCGAGTAGATGTTTCTTCAAGGGATGAGGGTGGGGGGTGCCCAGCGGTCCCAGTGTGTAAGAGGAGGGATGGCTCATTCAGAGTGGCTCCCAGGGAACGGCAGTTCTGATGGGGATGACTCACACGTGTGCTGTATGGCCTCAGATCATTCTAGACTGAAAATTCCCTGGATTCTAGAAAGATCCTCAGTCTGCAGGTGGCAGTTTCCAGGAGTAGAGACATGTTGCTTTTTGCCCACTACAGTGGATCTGAGGCTGGTAGTCCCTGCCCCCAAGGAGCGGGGACAAAATAAGCCAGAATTTGGGAGCAAGACACTAAACCCAGTCCCTGGAGACTCAGAACCTCAGTGGCACACCACGGAGTTGAGGTGTTTGCCTTTGTACAGAAGGCGGTGGAAAGGAGGGATGAATGGGGTCCTCCCTGTCTCGGGCCCACCCAGAGCTCAGCTTGGGGTTGGAGCCCAGCCAGTGCCTACTGGCGACAAAGCCCAGAAGGAAGCAGCATTCACCCGCACACCCGGCCATCTCCTTTACCACTCCTGTCTCTGACTCACGCGCTTGCACCCCTGGGGAGAGGTTGGCTGGGTCGCCTCTGAGTCCAGCCAGGACATGGTGAGGCTGGCTGCCTGGTGTGGGGTGGCCTGTCCTTAGGGAAGATCGAGAACCCTGCCCCCCACCCTGTTCTGCTGGGAGATAGCAGAGCTCTCCGTGGCCGTGATGCTGATGCTGAGGTGGGGGGCTTGGGGTGGAGGCACTGTGACCTCTAGATGCTCATGTCCCCCCGTGAGCCGGGACATGCCCTGCTCCTAGGCCTCCGGGCTTGAGTTTCACGCAGGGAGCTTTTCTCAGACCAGCAGGCCAGGCTGAGAATGAGTTCGCCTCTGCCCCGTGGAGGAAGGGGCAGTGTGTCGGGGGGGGGGGGGCCCGGCAGGAAGGCATCTGTCTCCTGAGTGTCTCACTCTGGGTGAAGATAGAAATAGGGAGCCTCGGAATCGGGGGGGTATGTTGCACCCCTCACTCCTGCTGGTAGGGCTACGGCAGCACCTGCTGGTGACGCGCCTGCCCCTTCCCAGGTGCTGCCCAGGGCTGGCCCGGTCGTCGTCCATGGTCTCAGGTCCCAGTCTGCGGGATGACAACCTGTCCAGTTCACACGGAGGAAGGGGGAGAGCAGGCGCTTAGCAGGAGCCGTTAGTCGTCCTGCAAGCCAGCGGCCCTGGCAGGATGTGGTGCCTCCTAGACGGATGCTGCTGGCCATCAAAATGCTTACGTTCTTTGTAAACACTGACCCAAAACATGCTGAAAATGTCTTTGGGTTTCTCTGCTTTTAGCTCTGCCTCCTTTAAGAGGTGACATCCCCATTTTCTGTATTTGCTTAATCATGCAACAGATACTTACTGAATATGTACCATGTGCCAGGCACATCTGTCTCCTAGATGTACTGATGGGAAGTTTTTGAGAGACCGTCCCTGCAGGTGGATTCCATTAAAGAGAATGAACAGTAGGACATCTCTCTCTCTCTCTCTCTCTCTCTCTTTCCCTCTCTCTTTCATCTGGTAATGACATCTGGCATGGGATGAATAGCAGACTTCTGCTATTGTAAACCTGGATTCAAGCAGATGGAAAGACCAAAGATTGAATTGGCTAATAATTTTATGATGCATTTTAGTAATATTTTCTCAATATTTAGACTTTATACCAAAATTCGAGCCTAATTTGACACTCATCTAGAGTAATGAAAGTGGCCCACATGTAGCACGTAAGGCAAGCTAGGCACATTTCCGTGGCGACTGTGGACCCGTGAGTCTCTGGGCCCGTCAGCGTCACATCTGTAACACCAGGGCAGCAGACGGGAACTCCGGCCCCCCCGCTGACCTGTGATGAGCTGTGTGTATTGTCGTGCTCCGGTGCTGGGGTCCTGGACGTGCCCCCAGGCTAAGGGGACGAGCAGACACAGAGATGGGCTCTTACAGTGCAGCTTGGAAGGGCTGAGACGGGAGCCTTTCTGTGTGAGCGCCGGCACATTCCGGAGCCCGAGAGCAGCAGGGACCTATGTCGTTCCCTGTGACCGGTAACGCAGCAGGCAGAGCAGAGAGGTGGCAGGGTGCAGGAGCCTCCTGCGCCTGGAGCTGGGCCCTCTGCTCTCCCTCCCTCCCCCTCCCTGCCATGCTCTGAGATCTGTCAGGAAGTTCTTTCTCCCGCATTACTTGTTCCTTGGCGCCAACCTTAGTCGGGTAATTTTCTTTATTCACTTTTCTTATTTTAGAGAGAGTGCATATGAACTGGGGAGGGGATGGGGCAGAGAGGGAGGGGCACACTCAGCACAGAGCCCAACGTGGCGCTCAATCTTAGGACACTGGGATCATGACCAGAGCCGAAACCGAGAGTTACTCAGTGGACTGAGCCACCCAGGCGCCCCAGCCTGGTGATTTTTTAAGGGACTTTCCCTCTTTCTCAAGAGGAACTCGCTTACATGTGATGTGTGCACCGTTTCCCAGGGGTGGGGTGGTCGGTCTGCACAGGCAGCCTCTGTCCGGGACAGCTGGGCTCATGTGGCAGATGGCGGTACTTTTTGGATGGAATATAATGTCCCCTTACTTTCAGCTCCTTTGCACAGTCTAATTTCCACCTTATTACCTGCCAGCTACCGCTATCGGACGGTCTTTACTGAACGTAGGAAACCTTGATGTGGCCCAGATTGTTGGTAGCAGATAATAGCATTCCACACATAATCCGAAAGGTGCCTGTGTTTGGCTTTGGGCCAGGACCAAGGATACCACACTGTTGGGACCGGAGCCCAGGGTCAGAGGCCCAGCTCTGCCGTTTCCAGTGGGAGGCTGTGGCCCGAGGGGCCCCTGTGCTCGTCTGTTCAGCCACGGTGAGAACACCTGCTCTAGTTAGCTGTGAGGGTTAATTCTAATCATCCTGTTACCCTTTTGATCACCTCCTAGGTGTCAACCAAGGTATTTGCTATTTTTTTTTAACCCCAAACCTGCAAAAACAGATAGTAAGTACTCTGTTTTTAAAAATAAGTGCATTTTGGAAGTTAAGTAACTGACCTGAGGGTGACACGGCTGGCCAGACAGTCAGGATCCCAAAACCAGTGTGACCTCCTTGCTGTCTGCGTGAGGCCCCACTTGACCAGGTGTAATCCTAGTTCCTGCCCCTGGAGGGTGTCGGCCCCGTGGGACCCCTTTCCTGCTCCAGAGAAGGCATATCCTGCGCAGAAGACCGTGGGCCGGGCCTCGCCCAGGCCCTCACTTCCGCCTGTGATGGGACCTGCCACAAAGGGTCTGGGACTATAGTTCTGAGTTCCTCGGAGTAGCTGGTTCTGGGGTGCTTGTAGTTTGGCCGTGTCTGTTTTCACTTTCCTTTTGTGGTTCAGGAAAGGAGAGTCCATCAGTGTCTGATGGAGTCTTCCTCATTCTTTGTGGTTGACCTCACGCTTCTGGTCTCCCGAGGAGCCTGGTCCATCACTGACCTCTCCCATCCCGCCTGGCTGGAGCTTGCCCCTTCCGCTGGACTCAGTGCCTAGGTCTCGTTTGCCACTGTCCTTGCAAAGTACAGGGAGGTTTATTTTCCCACAAGGTCATGTCTCCTGTGCCCGGCTGTGCTGTCTGAACCCACGCCACACATGGCCCATTCCTTTAGCAGCTGTTGGCTGATGGCCTGCTTTGTGCTGGGCTTGTGCGGAGCACCAGGGACCTCCGTGATGAGCAAGATCAGGTGTGGGCCCTCCCGCGACAGAGCTGTGTGTCTTCCCCAGCACGTAGGGGTTAAAACCGTTGGCGGATGATTATGCTGCAGACCACACGGTTACCAGCCTCGCTGCGCTGTGCTCGCTGCTGTAGCACGTGTGACAGGAGTTTCCATGCACAGGTGCGTCCTCTTTGAAGCCTGGCTCCTCTTCCAGGGGGCCACCGTGCACAGACTGTCTGTGGTGGAGACAGATGAAGGGCGAGCCAGAGTCCTCTTACCTTCTCCTTTTCCCGGTTTCATTGCAAATGTCCCTCCAAGGAGCATTTCAGGGGTCGGTGAGATACTTGCTGACATATCTGAACCCAACCCCCATGTAGCTTTCATGACAAGAGCCGGGTGCACCATTCAGCTGGTCCCCACAAAGGCCAGTGACCCGGACCATCTGGGCAGCGTCTCCGCCAGGTGGTCTGACAAACATGCATCTCCTCTGTGCTGTCTGGAGACCGTTTGTCACCATCTGGCTGCTTTGAGGGCCAGGTAGAGGCTGGAGGAGCCCAACTG